TGGGAGACTCACCAGCCAATTCAGCCCAGCCTTGGCACCTGGTAGCAGCTCCTCCCCCTCCCTTCCACAAGGCGCCCCTTTGCCCCTTGCATTGGGGGCTCCATTTCAGGCAAGGAAGGGGCCCCTTTCACAAAACCCACCCTCCCTTTAGCATCTGAAGGGTGTCATCTGCCCTCTCAGCTTTATCCCTGCTGATGGGGGGGGCTGTTTCTAGAGGGCGGGGAGGGGAATGAGGAAGAATGCCCTGGTTTGACTTCCCTTCCAATCTGCTCCCCTCCCTGGGTGGCTGGCCCTGGAGAGCCCCCCCTCCCCTGTCCTGTCCTGTGGGTGGGCGCCTGCCAAGGCCCTCCTGTCCGGAGCGCCCTTTCCCACAAGGGAGGATAAAGAGGATGATTGTCCGAGCTTGGAGACAATTGGAGCGGGCAGTCTGGCCGCTGGCCATCCGCAGAGGGAGGCTGTTCAGCCAGGGAGGTGGCCATTGGGCGGCTATGAGGGAGAGCGAGCGAGGCAGCCCAATGACAGCGCCGAGGGCGACTGAGGATTTGCCGCCCCGAGCGAGGTTACCTCCAGCCTCAGATTGGCGTGCCTGGCGCAAAGGCTCCAGCTCAGAAGGCTGCCCCGCGTGGCGGGCGGGGGCTCCGGAGCTCAGGCGCCCTTTTCCTTGCTCCTTTGCAGCCAGATTCCTGGGTGCCAAAAGGTCCGGGAGTGACTGCTTAGCCGAGGGAGCCGAACTAGCCGCTGCTCCTGGGAAGGCCGTCCGAGGGAGGCAGCAGCTGGACGCTGCCTCTGCGGGCCTGGCTCTGTTTCGCCAGGCAGCTGCTCTCGGGCAGGCGAAGCAGCTCCACACAGAGCAGTGGAGCCGACCGGAGTGGCCGGGGAAGGAGTCTGCTCTTAATTTTGGCTCCAAACGGGCATCTGAAGGGCCTTTAAAGCAGCCTTGAGCCTCTAGAGGAAAAGGTTAAAAGCAACATGTTTGGATCAAGTAGCTTGGAAACGCTTTCAGAATTGGAGTCCCAGCTTTCTTTAGGAGGGCAGGAGCTGTGCCGGGAGAAAAGGGGTGTGTGTGTCTGGAATCTGCATCTTTCCTCTTTTTAGGGATGCCACAAAGTGGCCTGGCTGGGGGTACCTAATTTGGGGGAGCTTCAGGTCAATAAAAATGTGATCATAAGTAACTTCCAGCTGGCCACTGAACTCAGTGAAACTGGCCTATGAGATTCATAACCCATCCCGGACAAGCTTCCCACCAGTAGAAGCAAGATGGGCACCCATGTTACTGATGTGCAGGAAGGAAGAGAAAACTGGGCTTGTGCAAAGAGCTTGAGGGGTGGTGGAACCACAGGCTGCACTGGAATGAGCAAGGTGCCCTAGCATAAGCATGAGGTTAAGGATTTGGGTTTATATGCTGATGGAACTGTTATCTTTTAAGGGCATGTCTCTGCACCAATTACAGCATAGAATCAAAACACCGTTAAGCCTCCAAAATCAATGAAAAATGATAACATGTTAAGAGGTGGCAAATCATCTGATATCAGTAGAATCTGTTCAACCAGCATTTAGCTGGTTATCCCTAAATTATAGGCCAGACATGTCAAACACAAGGCCCGCGGACCAGAAACGCCCCACGAAGTGGTTTCATGTGGCCCGTGAAGCCATCCTGGAAACAGTGAGGGAATGGCCTCAGCTGCCTTGGCCCTGGCCCAGGCCGGCCAGGAGCCAATGTACAATTTTGTGTTGGCCATCTATGCTGAAATGCGTTCAGTCTTAGCTCCACAACGGCTGTCCGGAAACAGTGAGGAACCAGCCCCTGCCACGTCAGCCCCAACCCCTGGGTGCATGCTGGGGAGGTGTCACCCTTTGTGAGGAATGAAGAAATGCATCATCGCCTGGAAGTGGCCAGCAAATGGCTCTCGCCTACTTCACATATCTGGCTTGATGGGCTCTGGGGGAGGGGTTTCGGCAGACAGCGGGGCTGTCTCACAGCACCGAGAGGCTGAGCTGGGCGGTATGAATCTAAAAAGAAGCGTGATGCCACCCAGCCCCCAGCCTGCCCGGTTTCGGCAGGCAGCGGGGCGCTCTCCTCACAGCGCTGAGAGGCTGAGCCGGGTAGCGCGAATCCAAAAAGAAGCAAGAGGCCGCCCAGCCCCCAGCCTGCCCAGTTTTGGCAGGCAGCGGGGTGCTCTCCTCACAGTGCCAAGAGCTGAGCCCGGTGGCGCAAATCTGATGAGAAGTGCAATGCTGCCTAGCCCCCAGTCTGCCCAGTTTCAGCAGGCAGCAAGTTGCAAAGCTGACGAGCTTCACACCGCCCGGCTCAACCTTTCGGCATTGTGAGGAGAGCGCCCCGCTGCCTGCCGAAACCGGGCAGGCTGGGGGCTGGGCGGCGGCGCACTTCTTTTTGGATTCGCGCCGCCTGGCTCAGCCTCTCGGCGCTGTGAGGAGAGCGCCTCGCTGCCTGCTGAGACCGGGCAGGCTGGGGGCTGGGCAGTATTGCGCAGGTAATGTTGACTCTCACACTGCTCATGGCATCCCCTTCCCCAAAGCCCACCAAGCCAGATATGTGAAGTAGGTGAGGGCCATGTGCTGGCCACTTCCAGGTGATGGTGCATTTCTTCGTTCCTCATGAAGGGTGACACCTCCCCAGCTGCGTTTCTTCCCTGTTTTTCTCCCTCATCTCAAATATTTTCCCACCACTCTGTACTTAGGAAGGAAGGAAAGAAGGAGAGGGAGGGTCTGAGGGAAATCCTGCCTTAGTCCTGCCCTGCTGCCCTTTCACCATCCCCTTGCCCCCTCTTCCTGGCCTATCCTGGGGGTCTCCCATCCTAAAGCTAAGGAAGCTTTGGATACAAAGCCGGGTCTCCTCCCATGGAGAGGGAATGGGCCTCCCTCTGACTTTGCCCTCGTACCCATCGTGAGCAACCTGACTAAGGAGACCAAGCACAGCAGCAGCAGCCTTGAAGAGGTAAGTGCAGCTGGGTGCCCCTTTGGGGAAGTGGGGCTGGGCATGGTGCCGTGGATGCTCAAGGGCCAGGCTGGGCGTTTGACCTCTGCTGCTCAGGGCTCCGGGCAGCCCGAACCACCATCCAGCCCCCCCCGCATGGCCTGAGAGGAATAGTGAGGCTCCTCCAGTGGACCATGCCTTGGCACTTGCCCTGGTCCCACCCCCTTCTGCCAGAGACCCTCAGATCTGTCCCACTCCTGCCCAGGCCCCCACAGGCACCCTTGAAGCTAATGATGTAGAGCTGGCCACGCCCATCCAGTAGGCCACACCCACTCCATCCATGCCCACCCAGTAGGCCGCACCCAACCTGGCCACACACATCGCCCCCCCCCCGGGAAACCGCAATGCTGATGTGGCCCTCAATGAAATTGAGTTTGACACCTCTGTTATAGGCCCACGTTGTGTGGTGAGTCCACCAGTCTATTTGCTAGACTCAGCTACATACCGTTTCTTATAACCCAGCTCCAAAATCTATTCTAATAATCTGTGGATTCCGTGGATTCCAGAGGACATGGGATCTGTCCAGGTCCAGATTAGATGTAGGCCTTGTTTCCTGGCTGTCTTTTCTGATAATTCCTAGAAGCTGGGCTGCTGAAGTGAGTTGTGAATATGTGGAATAAACAAATGGAATTCATCTGAAAATGGCTTGAAGGTCCAGGAGGAAGCGCAGAGCTGAGAAAAGCTAGTGGACATCATTTCCTGCCAATGGCCCACCTGGGTCTCCATCCCCCTTATCAAGCTGAAGCTCGGGGTCCAAGGTGGTCTAGAGCCCAGCCTCCCTACAGGCAGGAGAGGATTCCCAGTGGCAAGCCCTGATATGGGGAGTGGGGCTGAGCTGTGCCCCAAACTGAGCAGGGTCAAAGGGGCAGCCTTGCCCATTGCTAGCCTTGGAAGCACCTAGTCAAGGGTCTGTGGGGCTTGCTAGCTTGGAATCCAGGAGATGGAACAGGCTTTGGGGCTGGGAAACTGGCGGGGGGAACTGCTCATTGGGAATTCAAGCCTGGCAGAAAAGCAGAATTCCTAACCTGAGTCTAGGAAGGAGGCAGCAGCTGGTGAAGGGGCAGGGGTTGGGCAGACAGCAGGTGGTCTAGCTCTTTTGGCTGCTTAAGGCCTAGGGTGGAATGGCCTGTCGAAGCTGGGACATAGCCTGGATTTATTGCCCATTTTCTGCAAGGCCGGGAGGCCTGTGCACAATTAGTAAACTCTCCCCCAAGCCCAGCCTGACACCACTAATAAGTTCTCCAGAAAAGGCATGTTTAGGGATGTAAAATTTCAGCATTAGGACATCAGCTGCATTTGGGAAATCAAGCATCAGGTGCCAAAGGGAAGTTTCCTGGCTCTGAGCCAGAAGCTGAGGCAGCAGCAGGAAGGGAGGGTCAGGTTAACACTGGTCTGCACTTAGGAACCAACAATATTCATCAAAATGGGGGCTTTCAGAGGGTTCCAAGGATGGGATGGTAGGTAGTCTCTTCAGACAGGAGTCAATCAAAAGCAAAGTATTTGTTGCCAACAGATGAACTGAAATATTAATGAAAGGCAGTGGAGCAACTGATGCAAAACACCATGAAAAACGGGCCCGGAGTTGAAGAGAGTAGGAAGCGCAGCACCTCCCGGGCTTTGCCTGGCACCGGGCTGACACAAACAGCACTTAGGCGGCGGCTGCCCTACCAGCCAGGCACCCTGTAGGAGAGCATTCCAGAGTGGGGCGGCTGCTCAGCTGGCCAGCTCTCCTCCTGCTGTGCTTCCTGTAGCTGGAGGATCAAAGTGGGAGTTGGGAAGCAGGGAGGGCCTCCCCCCCGGCTATGCTGAAGGCAGGCGGAAGGGAGGGCACTGCTGCCAGGGCCCATAGAAAGAGGGGGCTGTCCCTGAGCTCCACCTGTATCGCCCAGCCACTTGTCTGGACACCTTCGGACAGCTAGGAAGTTCAGAAAGGCTTTTCCCTGGGTAAGGTCATCGCCTCACTTCTTCCTCTCTGCTTTTTTCATAGCTGTGGTGTGTGGGAATTATGAAGTCCTCTCCCAATGGTTTCCGGCAGCAGGACCAGGTGACCCCCCCCAATCTGGCAACACAGGAGAGCCCAAAGAACCTCCCGAATGCCAAGGCCGGGTCTTATGGAGTCACCATCCGGGTCCAAGGGATCGATGGCCATCCCTACCTCGTGCTCAACAACACTGAGGGATGCTTGTCAGCAAATCGCTTGGGGTCTGAAAATGGCCAGCAGGTTGCAGCTGATCAGCCAGCGCCAGATTCTGCTTTTCCTGCCATTGGACGAGTCAAGAAGAGCCAGGAAGGAAGGCCCATCGGCGGGCTTTGGGATAATGCACCATCCTGCTGGATTAAAAGCCTGAAGCAGGCCAGCAGGGAGGAGGGGAAGAAAACAGTCTCACCTTTCAAAGGTGAGATTTCCCAGGCCTCCAATTTGCTGAACTTCCAGAAATATCCAGAGCTGCTTCAACCCTATAATCCTGCAAACAGCATCTTGAATCCGAAAGACTTTCAGCCTCGCCTGCTTGGCAAATCCCAGTCTCTTGAGGATGAAGGGAAATTGGGTTCCAGGCCATGGAACTCATCTTTGAAGGTAGCACTAGATGACTCAGCCCCCCAGTTTGCAGAACTGGCTAAATCAAAAGTGAAAACAGTAGACTTGGCCAAGCCCGACCAGAACCAGCAGCAGCTGGAAAGCTCCGGGGTTGCCGACCGTCCTGGCGGAAGGCCCGAACCACTCTCTCCTGGGGCTGGATCTTCACCTGCTGCGAGTTCCTCTGCCTGCTCAGGTCCTAGGAGGTGCAGACCGGACCTCCTGCCTTTCCGCCAGCTGGACTCAGCAGGAGCAGCCCTGAATGGCTCCCAGAAATCTACATCTTCATCCACTACTCCAACTTCTGCTGTCTCCACATCCAGATTTTTCCTAGATGACCAAGAATACGCCATTTATGCCGACCATGTCAACCGGCATGAAAACCGGCGTTATATCCCATTTTTGCCTGGAACTGGCCGTGATATTGATACTGGCTCCATTCCTACAGTTGAAGAGCTGATTGAAAAATTTGACAGGAAAGTTTGTCCCCAAAGAAGGGGAAGATTAGGGTTCAGGACTCGAACTCTTCCAGAGAATCATAGGCGATCCAAGAGTGTAGACAGCGCCCTGTCTCATGGACCGCATTCTGATTGCATCGATGACTTCACCAAAACCTTGGGAAGATCGTCCGAGCATTTGGTCCAATCCTCCCAAGTTTGTCTGCAGAAGCCGCTGTCTCCAGAGAAGAAGGCAGCCTCTCTTGGGGATCAGATGGCCCCTTGGGCAGCAGGCAAGCTCCAAACAACCCCAGGAATGAGAGATTCTCCCAGTAGCCACTTTAGTTCCTTGCAGCATCTTAAACGTGATCAAATGGACCCAGAGAGTTTGCCTTCTAAGTCTTCCACTCTTCCAAGGCAGTGTAAAAAAAGAGACCATAAAACTCCGGCCTCCACTCTCTTGTTACCAAACAGCACTGTGAGTCAGAATCACTCGATGGAAACTTTTGCTTCTGGTTCGAAAAATGCTCAGGTAACTTGGGGTGATGGATGGCTGCTTCAGTGTGAACTGGTCAGAGGCCGTTCAGCTTCCATGGCGCAGTGTTGGCCAGAGGGACAGAAGGGGCAGTGATGCCTGGGGAAGGGAGGCTGCTGGGTGGACAAATGGGCAGAGTTGAGCGGAATGACTTCTGGTTTCAAGGCAGAGGGATTGGCAGCTAGCGGGTATTGGAATGAACAGCTCTGGGTAGTTTGCATCACAAAGCCACTTTGCAATTAAAAAAAAATAGATCGTTTTTATTCCCTGTCTTCACACGCAGCATTCTCTCCACCGCCTGGCCTGTTTTCTCAGAAATAACTAGAAATGGGAGGTGGTCTCATTCGGGCTTTTGCCTCAAAGGGTGCCATGTTGCTTCCCGCATCCAAGGGTTGGTATCCAGGCCTCTCTGCAACTCTTCAGAGCTGCTCACAGCAGCTCCTCAGCTGAAGGGTAGCACAACCTGTGTCAGCCCAATTGGAAATGAGAATCTTTCCTTCTAAGGCATCCGTTTCATCCTGAGTTTTGTGTTTCAGGTGACACCTGACCTGCTCAAGGGTCAGCAGGAACTTGCACAGCAAAGCAATGAAGAGACAGCCAAGCAGATTCTCTACAACTATCTCAAGGAAGGGTCAGTGGGCTTGCATAAGGCCCTGCTTTTGGCATGGTATTTAGCACCTAGTCTTGCTTGGGCCCTGCACCACTTGGTTTCCCTAAGGTGAAGGTCCACGCTGATTAATTTGTACAAGGACTCCCTGCAGCCAATGCCTTTCTACAAGCAGGTAGACCCTGCAGGCAGCTGGAGGATCCAGGGTTTTTGGCTTTCTGACCATTTGAGCAAACTCTGGATCTTTTTTCACGTTTTAGTACCAGCGAAAACGAGGATGCAACCAAGAGGAAAGTCAACTTGGTATTTGAGAAAATCCAGACACTGAAGTCCAGAGCAGCTGGGAGTCCTCAGGTGACTGACACCAAGGAAAGAGCCTCCTGTCTCCCATGGCTGCCTGTTCTGGGAGGGGGAGAGGCAGGAGGGCAGCCCTCGCCCACAGCTCAGTACAGAGGCTGCTGGTGAAGCGTCTTTGTCATCGTGTGGACAGGATTGTTTTTTGCAAGCAGTGCTGCCAGTAGGCTCTTCCCCCTCCCCTCAAGCAACAAATGTGTCTTGTGGCTTCTCACACACAACTCACTTTTGCTGCTCTTCTGCCTTTTGCTGCTTTCTTTTGAAAAGTCCCCCAAGGTCCCTCCTGAAGGCCTTATGAGGCAGCTTTCATTGCCTCGTGGGGAGTTGAGATGTTTAGAACAAATGAATCTTGTTTAACTGCAGACATCTGATGCTTCAGTGGAAGTCAACATGTTAGTGGGAGAGAAAAAACGGTTGACAAAGGAGGTTTCTGAGCTACAGAGGAAGCTGGACTTGGAATTCAAGGTAGCCCCCCCCCCACTTCGTGTCGGTCACTAATCCTGCACACAAGAACAGAGAATGTGGGTTTTTAAGAATGGCTCAGCCACACAGGTATTGGAGAACAGTTCGTCTTCCAGCCTTAGGAGACCTGCTGGCTGTTAGAGCAGGCTGAGTTGGGGCAGTCATCAGATCCAGGCCCATTCCATGCTGAAGATGGGCTGTGTTCCTTGCCCCAAACACCCCCTAGTCTTTGCTTCCCCCTGGAGCCTTCAGAAGGAACAAAGGGAGATCCCTTGCACAGATACATGGCCCATTTGCCATTTCCCAGAAATACTGGAGTCTTTAGAAAAGTGCAAGGAGACTTAATAGATTCTTTTTATTTTTTCCAAAATTTGCTATTTTAGAATCAGCAGAACTTCAAAGCTGAAAGGCAGACAATGGAAGCAGAGCTTCAGAAGCTTCGGCAACAGCTTAAAGAAAATATGGAGGAGAAAGAAACTTTCAGGAGGCAGCTGAAGGAAAGTGAGAAAGACCTTAGAGAAAACCTGGAGGAGTGAGTTTTGCTATGAGTGTTGATTATAATAGTAAAGTCTAATGCAAACTAAATAGAAAGAAAGAGAAAGAAAAAAGAATATTGTTCTTTCTACAACAATATTTGAATGAGCTAAAGCAGTGGCTCTCAACCTTTTGGGCACCAGGGACCAGTTTCGTGGAGAGAGGTTTTTCCATGACCTGGAAGGGGACGTGGCTTCATGGGCTGTTTGCATCCCGCAGAGGGGGCTTCACTTGTTTGTGCAGACCGGTTTCTGGCATGTCGCGGACAGGGTGGTGGTCCACAGACCATGGGTTGGGGACCCCTGGATTAAAGATTATACAAGTAAAAGGAAGGAATATAAAGATGGTTTATTTGATCAAGGTTAAAATAAGATACGTTGCTATTTCTGGCAGCCCTTTATGAGACTTCTGCTGACACCAGAAGTGAAAAGATGATGATTTATGGATTTGTCCCTGGAGACGGGACCAGATATGGGATGAAGAGATAAATGTTTGTAATCTTGGAGGGGTCTGAGAGTCACTAAATTTGTTTCTACTTGTGATAAAAGTTATTTATTTATATATATATTTTTCTTTATTTATTATATTTGAATTTTTTCTTTCTTCTCTCTTGTCTTTTATTCTGTACTATTTATTCTTTCTTTCCACCCATTTGCTTCACTTGTAATTTCCCTTTTGCCCCTTTGGCTGCTGCAAACTCTTTCCACCAAAGTGTGCCTTCCTGAAGCTTTTGAGGGCTTTTTATGACTGACATGGATTCCAGCTGGCAGACCAAAGAAGGCATATCAAAAATGTTTCTTTTCTTCCTCCCTTTGAGGCTTTTCCAAGTGAAAATGGAACGGGAGCAGCATCAGAGAGAGATCCGAGACTTGCAGGATCAGCTTTCCGAGATGCACGATGAACTGGACACTGCGAAGCGCATGGAGGACAGTGCGAAGGATCTACTCGTAGAGGTGAGACCCTTTTCCTGCCTGAAGGGACCCTGAGCTGGAGCAGGAAAACGTGGCAGGCAGGAGGGCAGGAATTTGGAGCCCGGCCACAACTTTCTGAACAGGGCCCCCCTTTCTCCTCCTCCTCCTCCTCCTCCTCCGTTGCTGGGTTCAGGAACTGATGCAAGTGAAGCAGGAGCTGCAGGAGCTGCAGGAGCTGCAGGAGCTCAGAGACCAACAAGAAGAGGCCCTGAAGAGACGCGAGCGGGAGCTGACGGCCTTGAAGGGCGTCTTGAAGGAAGAGATGGCTAACCAGGATCGAGAGATGGGCCACCTCAAGGAGCAGCACATCCGGGAGCTCCAGAGCTTGGGAGAGAGTCTGGCCAAAGCTACAGAGGTCAGTGAGATGCCCAGAAGAGCCCATGGCTTTCCCAGCTCAGTCCTACTGCCCCCCAGCCCTCCCCCAGGCCATGCCCTCCGCCTGAACCTTCTCCCTCGCCCGGCAGGAGAGATGCCAGGGACAGCCCAAGGCAGCGGCTTTCCTTCTCCTGCAAGAACCAACTATTTTGTGCTCTAGTTATTATTGCCACAATCTCAGCCCTGGCACCAGGAGGGCTCCGCGTGAGGGTTGGGCACTGGAAATAAAAGCAGGGCTTTTAATCACTTGCTTTTTTTACTCTCCTATCCATTTTTTGCTTGTTTGGAAGACAGATTTTTCCCCATTTTCCAAACAGTCCTTGAGACAATCTGTTAATTGTCTTTAATTGGGTAAGTTATGCTTTAAAATCCTCACTCTGAACGGTCTAAGCTGCTCTTTTGGATTCACTCCGTTGTATGTACGCTGCACTTTATTTCGGCCAGCCAAAAATGTAGTGGTGGTCCTGCCACTGTCTGGGTTCCTACTGTCCAGCAGGTTTGGTCAGCAGGGTGCCCATTTGGGAATCCTTCTTAGGATGCCCTTCTTCCTTTCTCCTTGTTCTGCCCCCACAGTAAAAGCAAAAACAGTGACCCCCGCAGTCTTGGGGACCAGGCAGGGAAGGGAGTCAGGCCAGCCCACCAGACAGAGCCCCCTCACCTCCCCTCATCTGGGGCCTTCTTGCAGACCTCTTGGCGAGGGTTGGGTGGCAGGGGACTGGGCAGAAAAATGTTCTGGTGCCTGGTTTCTGATGGACTTGACCTGTGCCCCCCCCAGGTCTGTTGCATTTTGCTCTGGTTCTGGGCTGCCCAGGATGGCTTTCCCGTGTTGCCGGAGGCTGGGCATGAGAGGCCTCTCCGGGTCAAGGTCAGATGCCGGGAGACCATGGGGGAGAGAATTTGCCTGGCCCTCATTGGGAATGGCAACTAATGTGTGTCCGATTGCCTACCTTGATTGTGCAAGGCTGGTTTGCCCTCCTCCCTTTTACAACTCTGTCTTGGGGTGCTGTTGTTTTCCAGGGCCACCAGTCACTTGGTTGGGTGTCAGAGGCTTGGACATCTCGGCTCTTCTGGCCAGCGTGCAAAGCTCAATTACCCTCTCCTGGCACTAGGTCTCTTTGTGGTGCTGCCTTGAGTAGGAAGAGGGGACAGAAATTGAACTCTCTTAAAGAGTTTCATTATGAGGAGGGAGCAGCTGGCCAACCTGGGCATGCCTGAATGGTACTTTTCAGGGAGAAAATTAAAAGGTGGCTTAAAGGTGATGGCGGCTGCAATTGATGATTAGCTGTAGCTCATTAACCATGTGGGGCCGGAGGTGGGTTTGCCTTGTGAGGAAGAAGGGGCTGAAGCAGCTGAGCTCTGCTCCTGGCCCATCTGGCCACCTGAGAGCCAGGACAAGAGGAGGAGGTCTTTCCCTGGGGGATTGACCACCAGCCTTGCCCGGTCTCCTAGGTGCCTCTTTTCCACCTGGACACTGAAGGAGCCTGACTTCTGAGCAGGGCCCTCTGTCTCTCCCGTGTGGTGCTCTTTCTTCCATTCTTTATTTAAATGTTCACAACTGGTTTTTCCAGTGAAAAGCACAGGAGCCATGCCCTAATCTAGAATGCCAAAGGAAATAACAATGCAAAAACAGGCATCAAGGTATAAACATAGAAGCAGGTTAAAAAACATCAGGATTAAGCAATGCAGGAGGTACCTCTAAGACCAGCAAAGTGCTTGGAAATTTTTTCTCTAGATTTTTCCAACATTTGAAGTTTGAAAGGGGGCAGATGCCATGACCTGGTCACTTGCTGAAGTCGCTTCACAGCCCAGTTGGAGGTCTGTTCAGTAACAAGACCTGCCAGCTCCATAGGGCCAAGACTGTGGCACTGAACCAGGGCACTGTCACTGTCTCTTTCCTGTTAATGGGCAGCAGAGTTTTGCCCAACTCACTCTTCTCCTTCTGGATGGCTTTGGGCGGGGATTCACCCCTAAGCTTCCCCAAATTTCGGCCTCAGCCAGACCTCCTGCTCCCTGACGTTGGAGATGTCCCCAACTCCAGAGCAGCAGAAGCGGTGGCCGACGTCGTGAAGGAGCACAAGGTGCCACCCCCTCCCCCCAAAATGAGCCCAGTCTAAGGCTGAGGCGGCCATTCCTCCTCATTACACAACCTTGCACGGAATTATTCTGAGGCACAACTGACATCCAAGGCCAGTTGGACTGGCTCTTGAAGCACCTTGTTTGCATTTTCTGGGTTCTTGATATTCTCTGAGCATATCTGGCTCTGTGAATAGGTGATTCTGGCCTTGGTTTCTAGGAATCTCGCCCAGCCAGTTCGGTGGCTCTGATGCAGGCTGTGTGTTGACAAGACTAATCACAGTTTAACCCTTGGAAGAGTCACTGTGAATTGCATTGCCGTGAGCGAGATGAATGCAAATAAACACAGAAATCAGCTGGGTTCTGCTCTGCCTTTTAATGTGCTCAGGACATCCTGGACCAGGCGCATTGGTGCCCTCGGCTAATCTGGCCAGTGCTGCTTCCTGGGGTTTGGGAAACCGTGTCCTGCTCTACTTTAGCATTGAGAGCTGCAGTCCTTAATAACAGGTGAAAAGTGCCGTATCATTTGTTAATGAATTCTGGGTCTACATTCTCTCATTTTCAGTGAGCACTTTATGGCTAGCCAGAAAAAGGGTTGCTCCTGTTTAGCTTTATTGCACTGTTCCTGTGCCTGCAGACCAGATTTAAATCTTCAACCTCAGCTCATTTCCACACAAGATGCCCGTTGCATTTATCCTCTGGTCCATTTTGGCTGTAATGCTTAGCAACCTAGAAAGCTGGACCATATCTTGACCTGCAACCCTATGTCTGCACCTCCTCCGGGAGAAGCATCCTTGCTATTTATTCTAACTACCTGGTAGTGAACGCCCCACCTGGCTGATTTCTTCCTCTTTGCTGAAGATGGCTCAAGGAAGTCATTCCAGAGGTAACAAGAACAGTGGAAGCTCTGCTTCTAATTTTGCCTGATTCAAGCAAGGAGGAAATCAAATGGAGACCCCCTCCCCCCCCCCACCAGCCTACATCTCAGGGGAGGGTCAGCTGTCTCAGCATTGCATCTTTCTGATTTGAGTAACGGGTTGTCTTCCTAGAAAATTGGCACCCTGTCAGGTGCAAAGGCTGAAGCTGAGAAGGAGCAAAGGAGCCAAGAAGACCGCATGGCTGGGATGGCTGAGCAAAACAGGCAGCTGAGGAAAACCCTGGGGCAGCTGGAGAAGAAGCAGCAAGGGCTGGAGCTGGAGCTGGAGGATTTGAATGGAGGCAAGGAGGAAGCCAAGGAAAGGCTGAGGAGATGCATGGTGAGTCTCAGGGTGTGAAGCAAGCAGAGGAGGAGGAGGAGGAGGAGGAGGGCAAACTCCTTGGCTTGGGTGTCATTTTCTTTATTGCATCACTATTAGCCCAACTACTATTGAGGTTCACTCAAAAACTGTAGGAGCAGGAGGTGTAATTGGAAGAAGACGAAGCTGCCATCTCCTCCCAGATGTCTAGCTGTCAGAGAGACCATTCCTGAAAGGGACCGTCCAGGGCACCCTTGGGTGTCTTCTGGCATTCGCTGTGGGCCTTGGAGGAGGGCCTGGAGGGGGGCTCATCTGGGTGGCTTCAGCCTGACAGGTCTTAACCTTCTGCCCACTTGGTTGTAAATCCTGGCCTGTGACTGGGGCTCAAAGGGCCAGAGAATTTGAAGCCTTCAAATCCAGGTTCCCGAGGTGGGGTGGGGTGGGGTGCAGGCAGCAGCTGCTCTGGTTTATTCAAACAGCCGAGTCAGAGTTTTTGTTTTATTGTGACACTGTTTTTATTGTTTTGTTATTGTTTAATATATTGGTTTTATTGTTACTGTGAACTGCCCAGATTTGCTTAATATCTGCAGACAAATGAATCTTTTGAATCAGTCAATCTTTCACCCTGGCAGAGAGAGATGCAGTCTTTGGTCCACGCCAAGGAGGAAGCCCACCAGCTGGCCTCAGCCAAGGTGTCTTTGGAAGCCCAGCTGGAGGATGCCCAGGTGAGAAGGAGGGTTTAAAGGGGAGGTGAAAAATGGCCTCCCAGAAAGGCTTTGTAGTCTTGTATGGAGCAGAGAGTATTAAAAAGTAGCAGCTGTGTGCCATACCATCTCGGTAGCTTTTAATGCCTGGCAGTTTTCTAAATTGTTGTTGTTGCTGGGTCTGTATGCTAATGTTCTCTCAAAGGGGCTTGTTCCTGAGTCTGTTTGTCTTGAGGACTAATCAAGAGCATTAGCCTCTTTCTCTTAATTGCTGTCAAATTGTAGGGTGCAGCAGAGGCCAAGAGGCTCGCCTGTGCTTTCCCCACTTCCTTGTGCCTTGGCCACCTGGTTCCTGTGCTGGTTGGAGCCACAGTAGGCAACATAAGTGTATTCCGCTTTCTGGCCACCCTTCCTGGTGCCTTTGCCTTCCTCCTGCTAGCAAATTTTAGGTGGCTGCTGCAGAATTTGGATCTCATTTTTCATTTTAAAGATTATTTATTTTTTTTAAACTCTTCTGCATTGGGGCAATTCAGTTAATGATACATGTGGAACATCTGCACAAAGGGCCCATTTACTCATGTATTTATTTCCCACCTCTATTATTTCTACAAATAACTCGAGGCAGAGAACATATCCAACACAACTTCCTTCTCCTATTTTCTCCACAACAGCAACCCTGTGGGGTGGGTTGGCTTGAGGGGGAGGGACTGGCTCATAGTCACCCAGTTGGATTTCGTGCCTAAAGTGGGACTTGAATTCACGGTCTCTGGCCTGATGCCTCAACTACTAGGCCGCACTGGCTCTGCAGGTAGCCTGAAGGGGCTTCACCCTGTCCTGGGGATGAACTGAAGGCACCGGTGGGAACAGAGCAGAAAAGAGGCAGCCAGGACAGAGTTGTGCCCTGGTTATGTGGGGGAAGCCTGAGGACCCAACCTTGAACCTGCCATTGCAGTGAGCCGGTGATGGTGCTCTGCCCCTGGCCCCTCAATTTCTCTGGGGCCTCAGCCCACACAGCCACATCTCCCTCCCTCCCTCCCTCCCTCCGCAGAAGAATCTCAGTCGGCTGAGCCAGGAGCAGCAGCAGCTGATGGGTTGCCTGGAAGTCGAAGCTTTCCAAAAAGATCAGCTACAGAAGACAAAACGCGAACTGGAGAATGAGCGGCAGCAGCTGGACAGAACTGTGGAAACGCTGCAGAAGGAGGTAAGCTGCCCATCTTTCCAGAGACTTTGGGCCTTCTGGGTGACACTAGAATCCCTACATTTCAACTGTCAGCCACCAAAGTTTCAGAGGAGGCTTACTCAGCATACAAACACACCTTGCAAACAGCTCTCAAGGAGGGCAGCATCTTCTGATTTTCAAATAATGGTCAGCCAGAGTCACTGCAGAAATGCCTGGAAATCCCTTACAGATATTTACAGAAAACAAATGGCGGTGTGCGCTCTCTTGCTCTTCAGGTTACGGCATTTCAGCAGCAAAAAAGCTTCCCATTGGATTCACATCCTTCCCCATCGAGGTCTGTAGAGGGGAAAGAGCAAAGCCACGATCCAAATACTGTTGTTATTTCTAATTAAGACATCAGCAAGTCTTGCTTGCCAGTTTAGCCCAACCTAGGAGAAAGAGTGTCTTCCAGTGGGGTTTGGGGCACCTGCCTTTGCCCCTCCTTGGAAATCTTTTCTCTTGAATAGATGGTGGAAATCATTAAAGTGTCCCAGGAATCAACCCAGCAGCTCCAGAAGCAGCTTGATGAGTACAAGGAGAAGAACCAGCAGCAGCTGGTAGATTCACAGCAGCAGCTGAAGGACAAAACCCTGGAGCTAGAAAAGGCCTACCAGGCAATCCTCAAAATGCAAGAGCAGGTACTGACCGCTGACCTCCTCCTATTTGTAAACCTTCCTGCCTGCCTGCAATCAAACATCAATTGTATCATGTAACCAAAAGCATCAATTAAACTCCACCTAAACTAGAAATTACTGAAACAAAACAGCCCAGCAGAAACTAGTTGTAGATAAAATAGATCGGTTCCCTTGATAAATAGCTAACAATACCCAAAGTGAGGCTGAATCCCAGTTGTGTTGTTAACATCAGCAAGCATTCCTCACTCCCCTTGTCCTCCTTTAGGGGACACCCTTGGCCTTTACAAGACTCAGGGTACCAGCAAAAACCATGCCAGGACCTGTAAGCCTTGCTGAAGGTCAGCCCAGCTGGTGCTTGTGAATAGTCCAGAGTCAGGCCAAGGGGAGGCCTTTGTGTCTGCCTGAGTTGTAACACTCCCAGTACTGCGGACAAGCAAAGCAAGCTGGAAAAAGCATGGAACAAGCAAATAGGAGTTATAGGCTGGCTGTTAAAATAAACAGACAGCTGTTAAGAAATGTCAGTTGAAGATGGAAACATCAGGAAGCAGATTATACAAAGCAAATAAAGTTGCCATTTCTTCCGAAGCTTTGTCTTCCCTTGAGCCATCAGCTGGGTGAGGGGCCAAGGAAGCCCAGGGCCCTTTGTCCTGCCTCTGGCATCCCTTCTGGCGGCCTTGTGTTGCACTGCTGTCCCCTTGTGGCTGGAAAAAGACCGCACGTGCTCTCTGAAAGTTCAGTGCTCACAAGTGAACTTGCACTCTGAGGAATGGGCTGACCAGCTGGACGAGACCCCTGGGCCACATGGCCCAGTGGTCTGTCCTCAGGATGGCCACCAACTGCCCACGGAAGACCCCCAGTCTCCCAGCTGTTGCCTTGTGGAGGCAGCCATGTTGCCATTCCGGCTAAGAGCCCTTGATCCCCAGGACTGCCCTGGATCGGTCCAACTCATTTTTTAAACCAGCCAAGCTGGGAATCAGCACCACATCTCATGGCACATAAAGACTGGATGAAGGTGCTGCACAGTCTGCAAGCTGTTGCACACTTTCTGGAGCTCATGTGGAATGTGATCTGGACAGATCTACCCAGAAATGGGGCTGATTACCTAATGTTTCTATGGGAGATGATTGCAGAATCCCTCAAAGCCTTTCACACTGAGCGTGAGATTTCCGTTTTATCACTTGCTTCTCTTTCAGAAAATGGGTTGGGATTAAAGTTAAGATTAGGGCTAGCATACAGAATTAAATGTTGGCTTCGTGTCAAACCTGTGGACCTTCACAGACTTGAGTCTAGCTGAGATGGAAGAAATCTCTAGGATTTGGGTTTGCAAAATGCAGAATTATTTCCTTTGCCTCTGGATCTACAGTATCTGTCTACAGAACATATGGGTGAGAGGTTTATGGGAGACATTTCTTTGACTTTTAGGTACGTTTTATGGAAGATGAATTACAACGTCACAAAAAAGCCCAAAAAGAAGCCCTCACAAAGACTCAACTTCTGGAAGACACTGTGAAGAACTTGGAATATGAACTGGAAACTAAAAGCCACTTGAAAGAAGACCGGGCAAGACAGGCCAAGATACTGCAGGTAGAAATGAACCGTATTTGAGGAGGCAGATTGAGATGGAGAAATTAACCATGTTTTGCTGTGCAAAGATGAGTGTCCACTCAGTGTCCCACCTGCAAAATCCTGAAGGGCATCTGAGACAGCCTCCTCTTCTCCCTGTCTCATGCAGCATCCCTTGATCTGTGAGCCCCCCGTTTGTTCTGGGCTGCCCCTGGAGCCAGTTTCAGAGGGGGCAGGACTTCGGATAGGACACCCAGCTGGTGTGGCTGGTGGTTGCAAGGCAGACAGGTCCTCGGCAGGCCCTTATCTTGCAAGGTCCTTTAATGGAAACACGCTAAACTGTCCCCAGTGTGCTTATGGATGAAGCGTGGGGGGCTCTGAGCCAAGCAAGCCTCCCCCTCTCCATTTGCAGCTGGTGTAAAAAGGAGCCCAAGTGTTCACAATGTGCTCACCTGTGGAAGGTGTGGTTTCCCACGGCCCTTTAGGTCAGGGGCCTCTAGAGAAGCCCTCCAGAGAAGGGTGCTTGGGCTCACAGCCCTTCAGATGGGCAGGGCATCTTCCCAGGTGCTTTGAGCTGCTTTCAGGTGTGCCAGACTGGAAAGGCTCTCTGGAAAGCCCGGGGTGGGAGTGGGCTGAGCAGCTGCTCCTCTTCTCCCCCTTCTTCCATTTGGCTGGGTCACGTTTCAAGGCCTTCTTGTGTTGTGGGTGCTGCAGATGTTGAGTGGGCCAATGTTTTTCTCCTCAGGACAAAATATCCCAGCTGGAGTTGGAGCTCGAAGAAGAACGGAGCAATTCTGACATCCTGTCTGGGAGGATTGGCAGGGGCCGAGAGCAGGTAGGCCTTTGCCCAGCTCAGGTGGCAGCTGCCAGAGTGGGGAAGGAGCAGCTCTGGGAAGCAGGCTGGCCCTCCCCATTGGGCTTTGCCACCCCCCCCCCAGCAGCCAGCCCAGCTGGGTTCCTGCAGTGACCTTTGTCGCTTAAGGTGACCTCTTTCCACTGCAGCCTGTCTGACACCAGCAGGGGGCGTCTCCTCCTGGCAAGCTCTGGCAAGAGGCTTCCAAACACCACAAACCTCAGCTGACTAACCAGCTTAAATTGCTTAAATTAGGCAAAATACAGTTCCTCTTCAAGGAACTCCCCATTTCCTACACACAGGACAAAGCCTGCCTTGTCCTCGGTCCGGGCTTGGATGCAGGGATTCCTGAAGACTATTTCAGGTCTACTAAACATTCATAACAGCGGAATAGCAGCTCTGTTATTGGTCTTTATCCCTGCTGATTAAGCTGCCAGCTGGCCAGGAACAAGGCCTAGCTTTTCTCAGCGGCCTGGATGGGCTGCGTCAGGGAACAGAGCACAAGGGTTGTCATATGTCACATAACTGCAGGTGTTGCCACTGTTGCAGCCTAATTTAGATTGCCTCTCTTGCCTTTCCAAGTGCATTTTTACTGCCTGGGCTCTTAGCCTGGACTACTGGCAGGTATGATTCTTCCCTGCCCTGGCTGACAGTTCACTTACTGTGATTGTTTTTCTCTCTTCTCTTTCTCTTTCTCTTTGTTTGACTGCAGATGGAGCAAATGAGGAGTGATCTCCTTCAGGAAAGGGCAGCCAAGCAAGAGCTGGAGGGCAACAAGACCACCCTGGAAAGGCAGGTCAGGCATCAACATGATCTTTGCTCTGCTCTGGGACTGCAGCTCTCCCCCAGCCTTGCCCAGCACCCTCCGGGTCCACTGCCAGCTTTCTCCTGAGGGGCCAAAGGGGCCATCCCTTGCCATGCCCCCCAGCCCCTCTGGCTACCCAGAGTCCAGCACATTTCCCCTGCCTGCACCTAAGTGCCCGCAGACTCCCCTTCCTCTTTCAAGCCTTCCGAGCCCCTTTGGCTTTCCGGAGGACAAACCTCTTGGCGCACCAGCCGGCCATGCAGGCATCACTTAGCGATCCCTGCGAAGTCCAGAGGCTGCTTGGGCATCTGCTGCCCAGTGGAGTCAGCCGGGGTGCTGCCTCTCCTCCCTCCTGGAGTAGCAGCTTCTGCTCTGTGCTGGACTGGAAAGGCAACTCTTCTGCCCTCCGTCCATGTCCCATGCGCTAGTTATAACTTGGGGCAGGGGGTGGGGGTCCTTCTTGAATCTCCTGTTTGGGGCTGGCCAGTTTTCTGGCTCCTCAGCTGCCAGATGCCTCTGCTGATGGATTGGGGCAATTCCTCCTCCAGAACAAAGAGCTGAGAGGCCGGATCCTCCACCTGGAAGGTTCTCGCAAGCCCAGCAAGGAAGGCCTCCTGGCCCAGATGGAAACCCGCCTCCTGGAGCTGGAGGAGCAGCTGGAGAGCGAGGAGAGGTACGAGGAGGCCCCTCCCAAAGTCCCCCCCCCGGGGCTCTTCTCCAGCCCCATCGCTTTGTTCCGTGGATCATAAGTTGCCTGTGGGTCCACTTGACTCTGGGGGGCTTCTAGGATTTTTGGTGTTGCTGACCACAGACAGAAGACTGATCCTGGGGTTTCCTTGTGGCCTCCCACCCAGGAAATAGCTTAGTTAGCCACACAGAGTTCTTGGAATGGGCCAAATAAATAAAATTGTTAAATTGAAAAAATAATCAGCAGTGCTCTCCAGTGAGGCAGATCTGACGGGGAAAAGGCCATTTGGAGTGCCTTGATTTGCCCCTCCTTCTATCACAAAATCTTTCCCCGAAGCCCAGGAGAGGAGACTGCTGTGCCAAGACAGTACCGGCAATATGTTCCCCTCCCTCCACAGCACCCCCCTTCCAATCTGGCCCAACCCACTTGGCTGCAATCCGTCTAGCAGGCAGAAGAGAGCGGATGACAGTTGGGGGGAGGCCAAGATGATGAGAGCAGGGAAGCTGGGGGGGGGGTGTCTTCATCTGGTGCATGGCTTCTTGTCCCCCTCCCCTTCTCCCTGGCCTTCCTAGGGACCGAGGTCACCTCCAGTTGACCAACCGCCGACTGGAGAGGACAGTGAAGGAGCTCCTGATGCAGGTGGATGATGAGCACCTCTCCCTGACAGACCAGAAGGACCAGGTAAGCAGGGAAGCGCCCCAGGGGCTGCCCCCACATCGCCCCTTGGGGCCCCCCAAGGAGCCTCCATCCGATTCCAGGAGGTCCTCTCCTCGCTCTACAGCTCAGCCTGCGCCTGAAGGCCATGAAGCGGCAAGTGGAGGAAGCCGAGGAAGAAATAGACAGGCTGGAGAACAGCAAGAAGAAGCTTCAGAGGGATCTGGAAGACCAAGTGGACCTTAACAGCCAGCTGCAAGGACAGCTGGCCACCATCCGGCAGGACCTCAGGTGGGAAAGGGGGCCCAGCCGGCCTTGGGCAGCCTCGAGAGCTGCCGGTTTCCCTTGGGCCCCACCTCCCTCCTTTGCCGTCTTCGTCTAAAGAGGCCCGTGTTGCATTGGCAGCCAGCCTCCCCCCCCCCCCCCGAGCCCCTCAGCCACCCTTCCTGCTGCTCAGCCTGGATTCTCCCCAGACATGGACTGGTTTGCTCTTCCCAAAGGGTTCACGGATTGCTCTTAAATATCCAGAAATGGGGGCTGTGTTGCCAGATTCATCTTCTTCCATAGGAGAAAATACACCTGCCCCAAACTTGGTGTACTCTGCAGGTCCTTGAAAGACTCGGCATATTTTGGCTGCATCCACCATGGCTGTTTTATCGGCTTTGCCAATTAGATCAAAATCCACATGTGGCACAGCAGCAGCCCAGGAGGTTGCAGGCTGTTTCTCAGTGAGTAAATGTTTCCTTCCGCAGACGCCAGAAGACTTCCAGTAAGCTGCTGAGCGACTTTGACTATGAGGATGATGGCTTCAGCACCGATGGGGAGAGTCTTTTTGATGCCCCCCTGGGGTTGAAGTCCTTCAAGCACAGCGACAGCAAAGCCAAGAAGGACGCCAGCCAGCCTTAATGGCCGAGAGTCAAGGCTGCACGGAATCAAGGCACCGCCGGCTGCAGTAATCATAGCATCAGGTGACCTTGATTCCTTTTTCTGAGACAGGTCATGTTCAGATTTATTTCAGAAATAAACATTTGTGAACAAAAAGGAGCTGGCCTTCCAGTTCACAGATTCAGTACTTCAGTACTTCCAGCTCTGAGCACCTCACTGACACCAGACTGCTCCTAACCCAAGGTCTTATTTTGGAAGCTGTTTCAAACGGGAGGGAGGAAGGGTGTCACCTTGTTACTAGAGCAGAGGAAGGAATATACAAAGCAGGAGATAAGGGTGTACATATTTTTTAACCAAGAGTTTTTAGAACTCTTGCAACGTTTTTGTATAATTTCATGTTTCCATCAATAGCGCAGGAATCTATATTAAGTGTCATATCATCCATTAGCTTTAAAACCCTATTGCAGTAAACGTCATTTGTTCAGCAAACATGTTTATGGGCTGGCTGAAGGAGAGCAGCATGACCTTCGGAAGTTGAAAAAAGCAGGACATTCTACAACACCCAGAGCTGTTTCTGCTCAGAAAACCTCTTCCCCGTTCCCTGTCTCTGCTCCCTCACTCCGACTTCCAGGGATTGGATCGATGGGGAGACGGTTGACATATCCTGATCTTGCCACACTTTAGAAAAAAGACCTTTACTCTGATCTGAATTCCCTCGGCCTTGGCAGGACGTGCAACAATCACTCTGTTGGGTTTCTCTTCTCTTGCTCAAGAGCAGCTCCCTTGTCCCGAGGCCCAGCACCCCAAGGACCCTGAGCCCTGGCGGCAAGGAGCAGCCTCAGGTGCAGAGAAGCAGGGCTGAACTTGCCGTTTGGGTTCAGAGCTGAAACGGCTGCTTTGCTATTCAAGGATGGCGAGACCTGCTCCTCTGGTGGGTTATAAAGGACTCTCTGAGAAGCATATCGGAAAAGGCACTTCTGTTTTCTTGTCTTCTAGTTTTAATTGTATTACCTGTAAGCGGCATTTGGAAGAACATACCAGTATTTCCAAAAGTTTCTACTGCAATCGCATTTTTATCCTTTCACCAAATCTTTGCTCTGTTGGGACAATCTTTAATGAGGAAATAATAGTATCAGTAGCTCTGAAATTGTTCTCTTCTATAACTTCGTTAAAGTGTTCAATTCAAAACTGGTTAGCATCAAATATTTTTTTCAGAGACAGCATTGAGGATATTAAATTCCAGCATAAAAGTAAATCCTGGAAGCTGCATAACCCACAATGAGCCTCGCAACGGGAGAATGCAGTCACGTGAAAAAAATAACACTCCTGAAAAGCTTTGGCATCTGGACCTTGTGGGTTCGTGAGTGAAACCTTAAGGAGGACCTGGTTTGCTCCAGAAGATTCTTTGGGCTTTAGATCCGATTAACTCCATTGGCAACACCAAGAATTGCCTTCACCTCCACCCACAAATTCCAAGTGCCACATAGTGGGAGCAGAAACCATAGATCAGCGGTTGGGGTCGATCTGGCATTTGGGGTCGATCGACCATTTCACGGGGGTCGCCAAGCAAGGCTGTCCGCCATTTTTTTTTGTCCGCCATTTTTTTCCCCCTTTTCCGGCGGGTGCCTTACCTCCCTTGGGCTGGGCCAGCTGGTGGTCGGCCTGCTCCGTCTCTGCCACTTGCCAGCTACGCCTCGGCCGGCGCAGGGGGCAGAACCACGCATGTGCGGCGCTCCCGGGCAGGGAAAGTCCTCGACTTACGACTGGTTGGGTAGTCCTCGACTTACGACTGGCTTAGTCCTCGACTTACGACCGGCTTAGTCCTCAACTTACGACCGGTTGGGGGTCGCGGCATTAAAAAGGTTGAGAACCACTGCCATAGATGAAGAAAATGGGAGGAGAGAAACCCAGGATTTTGATTTGGGCTTTGGGAGTCCCTCTGCACGGAGGCCTCAAATGCAATTTTCACAGGAGGGCAGCAGTGTTGGGACCAGCTGGTCTTGGTGGCAGTTGGCTGCTGACTCTGGTAGCCATGATTTCTTGGTCAGGTGCATCAAGAGTCTCTGTGTTGCCAGGAGAGTTGAAAAAGGAAAGTCCTGCTAGCCGGCTGAGGTCAGCCCGAGCCAAGAGGAGGCGGCTTTTTGCTTGGCAGTGGTGGAACCCTTCGTCCGCATGCTGACAGTCCATGGCTCAGCCCTGCTATCTCCGATGGGGCAGGAGAGCCCTTGTTGGAGAGGAGGCGGCAGGTGGAGCCCTCGAGCGGCTTCTGTCCCTACAGGGAAGGGGGGCCGTTTTGGTTTTATAGAATCCTGTTAATGATAGCCCCAAAAGAACAGAGAAGGTAACCTAAAAGACCAGGACTTCTGGATAGACCGTTTCTGAGAGTTTGGACACATCTTGAAACCAGAGTGCGCTATTTTTTGTTCCAGCAGTTCTTCGTGAATGAGATCATGAAGTAATTTGTCCCATTTTTTGGGATAACTTTAGAGCTGGGATAACTTTAGAGCTTGCCTCCCGTCTGGAGAGACAAGGAGTTAATTAACTCCTTGATGTCATGATTTGAAAATATCTGCAAAGCATTCGGTATCCACTGGTAGCTAATAGGAATATATTTGCTCTGATTTGTTCTTGATTTTCAGCAGATTTTCAACAGATGTATTCTCAGGAGGACTGTAGCTCATCTGAATGAGATGCGTTTTTCTTTCTCTGTCAATAGCTTTTAAAAACAAGGAAGGAAAGACTGGAAATGTGCTGTGTTGACAATCAGTGCAAACTCTTGTATTTTTCTTCTAATACTAAGATGCCAACTTTATTTTAATACTATTCTTTATAACTCTCTTCTTGGATCATGCCTGAGCAAGCTGAAGACAAAAATCCATTGGGAAACAAATTCACTTTTAATTTTAAGGGCTTTTACTGTAAAAATGTCCAGTATAAACTAAGACTGCGACTGTAAGTAATTTGGAGAAGAACCGAGGAATTTTTGCAGCTACCTCCAGACATGCTAAACACTAAAACTCTAGTTATTTTGAAATAAATAGTAAATATTTCTACCTTGGTGTCTTAGTGTGGAATTAATGCACTAGGTTCCAAAAGTGCTCTGTTATTCCCACCAGCCAGCTTGAGGAGTTGGAAAAAAAGCAAATAATCCTCCGAGGTCTCCTCTCTCCATTTGTTAATAAGTTTCCCATCAGGTTACGGCTTGTGTAGATGTCCCAAAAATGTTGCTGTTGATCTCAGGGGGGGGAGCAGAGGGAGGAATCAGGGCCACTTGCTCCATGAGTCCCTTGGTAAACCCTTCCCTCTAGAGGAGGAGGAGAGAAAAACTGCTTGTGCTCAGCTCAGTATCCTGTTTTCTCTGCCAAACAGCTTCCTGTTTACATCCCCCACCACACGCACACTGTTTTTCAAGTTGTGTGCTCCAGCACAGAGGCAAATGAAAGCCCCTTCAGTAACTTTGCCCCCCCCCCCCCAAGCCTCCCTGTCAACTCGGCAGATCTTAATTGGAGGCTTCTCTACATGTTTCCAGCTTCTCAGACGCTTCTATGAGATGGGCGGATGATAAAACTAAAACCTATTAGGAACAGTGGCTCAGATCAACATTCTGCACATTTCCAAAGCATTGATGTGTATTTCCATGTATGGGTCTCATTAAAAGATGGGCTATGCATCATGCTACAGAACTTAATTACAAAATTATTCCTCCTACTAAAATAATTTGATTCCTGTTAGTAAGTTACTGAGTCACAGAACCTCAGTCTAAACATATTCTCCATGCTGGCCTACTTCCATACTTTCAAAGTACATCATTCACAAAGTTCTAAAGTGATGGTATCAATCTCGGATGCAGATGCACAAGGCTAAAGTTTGGTGCCAGTTAATCAGCTTTCGCTGGGTTCCAAGCAAAGATGAACAGGACATCAGTCCTGACAGCAGAGACCTTCATGCCTACCAGCAGAGGGTCTTTAAAGGTAATGGGCGGGTGGGAAACCCTCTAGCAGGAGTAGAAGAATAGGACAGTAATCCAAATAGTGGCTCTTGAACAGAAATCTCAGCCATATGGTTAAGGAACATATATTTGTTTTCTCATGTACTTCAATATTTAATCCCATCTGTGGAGTCCTTGGCGGTCTCTGAGTTTGGTGCTTTGCTTGCAGATGTTTCATTACTCAACTAGGTAACTTCATCAGTGCAAGGGAAGGTGGGATTTGTTCCCAAGAGGTTCCCTAGTTGGATAACAAAAGGTCTGCAAGCAAACCATCACTCCAGCAGAGCACCAAGGGCACCACAGTTCAATCGGCACTATGGAGATTCTCTTCTATTAACTCCTTTATTTACACAACCTCCGTATCTCTATGGATGAAGCCAAGAATTAAAAGGTTAGTCTCTCCAGCCTTTGAATAATCCTTGAAAGACCAGGATATGAGTCTACAAACAAAACAAATACTTGCAATATCACATTCATGGCGAGGCTGTTATGCAACCCTAATTAGGGTCAGGGCTACATATATGATTGAAGGCAGAGCCTCAATTAAAGTGAGATTGGCTAAATTATGGGCTTTGACAGAGCCTAAGTACTTATTAAGTAGGTTAAATATTGTAAGTGGGAGTACACAAAGAGAACACAAAACGGCTGCCAAATCTCCTAACTTACCCCAAGTCTAATGGCCAATTGGATGACCCAATGTGAACAATTGACCGTTCCCAAGAGAGGACCCTCAGGCTCCAGGTACACATTGTCCCTTTGGGGCAAGAAGGGAGCTTCTTTTCTGCTACCCACAACCCAAAGCAAAGGCTGCTTTTGGGCTGCTCCCCTTCTTGACCAAGTGGCCAAAGCAGTTCCAAGACAGCCCAGTCCCATGTAGGTACCCAGGTGCGCATGTGAAGAGGAGATGATGCCTGCTGGGCAAAGGATGCAATTTACAATTATGTTAATTTTTATAGATCTTTTTTGTTTACCAAAGCCGCTTGCGTTTGACTCTTGGGATTGTCTGCACATTCCTGAGGGCTCAAGAGTGCCCTTGTGGGATGTGCAGAGGAAGCCACATGAGACCATCAAGGTCCCAATCGAAGATACGAAAACAAACAAAAACAAGAGATTGAGGAGCTGATTCCAACTTCTGAAGCTTTGATTTTGGAGGAGATGCGCTGATTCAGCAGCCGATGCATCATGCAAGACCTTGCTGCTGGTCACGACTCCGAGGGCCTAAATGCAGGGTCCACCTGGCAAGCTCTGCTTGTCAGATTTTGCCATGTCTTCTTGTTCCTCAACAGGAAAGTCACTGGCTGGATAGGCATAAGAGAATAAAGTCATTCAATAGCTGGAGCCTGTGACTGGCAGCCACTTAAGGTTGCTGTACACTAGTAACTGTGCCACATTTGTGCCATTCTGGCTTAATTGCTCAACTGACATCTTGAGGGCGAATTCTAACCCTGATGCAGCAACTCTGTTATTCCTGTGTTGCCTTTTGCTAAAGGACACCGGTAGGTTTTTTCCCCCTCAGCTACCCTTTGTTTGAGGAAATGCTGACTTTGACTCAGAAAATGGTACAGAAACCTGTTGTAATTTATCTGATCCTGGGAGAATAAAATCTGTATTTAGATTGAAGGTCTCTGAGCTTGTTTTCTTGCAGACCTTCCATTACTCAACCTGGGGAACACCATCTCTGCTAATCAGGGGTGCAGTTTGCTCTCAGTTTAGATTCTAGCGAGGGCATTTTGAAAACTGAGACTCAACATCTCCCTTTATATTATGGTAAAAAAAATTCCCTCGGAGGCAAAATTTGGCTTTGGAGCCGCCCGACGGCCAGTCCAGAGTGCCCCGGGTCCCCCCCTCTCCCCCGAGGACCCACCTCAGCCCGTGGAGCTTTCCCCTCCCGGGCTCTTCCTCCGCGGGCGGGGCCGGGCTGGGGCAAACGGCCAGCAGGCTTTCCCACCCGACCCCCGAGGGCGAACAGGCGAGGCTGAGCCGGCCTGCATGGCCAAGATGGGGCTCAGCCTGGGGCCGCCCTCGCCAGCTCTCGGTGAAGGGCGGCCTCGCCGGCGGCGTCTCTGCGGGGCCGGAGAAGCGGCGGAGGCTGCCCGGCCACAGCGGCCCTGAGTCGGGCCCGGACAGCTTGCTGGCTGAGGGGAGGCGCCCTCCAAAGCCTCCCGGGGCGAGGCTGGGGCGGCCCGGGGCCCGCGGAGGGGTCTGGGGCCGTCTTCCCAGAGCCATCTGCGAGAGATCGTACGCTCAGCCGCCGCCTTTCCCGGGGCCGAGAAGGCAGCGAGCCCGTCGGGGCGCCGGGACGGCGGACAGACTCCGGCGGCCACAGCACAAAGGGCCGAACAGGGCGCGGCGGCTCCGGCCAGCCTGGGCGGGGCGGGGCGGGGCGGGGCGAGGGCCCTTCCTCTGGCGCGCGGGGCGGCGGAGCGGCTCACTTGGCCCGGGGAGGCGCCGCGCCCGGCGGTGGCGGAGGCTGCGGGCAGGCAGAGGCGGCGGCGGCGGCGGCAGGCGAGATGCTGCGCTACAGCTCGGGGCTGACGGTGACCCGCACTACGCCGAGGCAGCCGCAGAGCAGTCGGAAGGTGAGCCGGCGGCGGGGAGGCCTCCTTGTCCGGAGAAGCGGCCGGGGCCCCTCGCGGAGGAGGGAGGGGAGGCTCTTCCAGATCGGCCGCCCCAGCCAGGCTTCGCGGTTCCCTCCGCTGCGCTTCCGGCCGGCCCGCCTGGAAGCCAGGAGCCCCCGGACCGCTTGCCCGCCCGCCGCCTGCCTTCGCCCGCAGGGCTGGCAAGCGCGTTGGCATTTTCCCGGCCAGGAGGCCCCGGGCGGGCAGAAAAGCCCCGCTGAGTTTCTTGGGCGGCGCGGGCCCGGTCGCGGCTCCCCAGACACGGGCTCTGGAGGCAGACCTGGAGGGCCCGTCGCCAAAGGACGGGCGCCTGGGCGCCGAAAGGGGTGGCGGCTTTGGGAGGGTCTGGCAATTCCGGTCTCGGCGGTGGGCTTGCTGCCCTTGCCCGAGTCCGTGCCCGGCTGTGTAAAGCTCGTCCTCCTGACACGAGAAGAGGGCTGCGTGGGGCCAGGATGCGCACTCTTTGCACGCTCCGGGGGAGCCTTGTCTCCGCCTTTGGGGGGCTGCGATGCGATGGTGACGCTTATTATCGCCTTTCCCCTAACCTAACTGAACTCAGACGTTCAGTTTTAGTAGAACTGAAGGCAGAACGTTGATGGAGGTTTCGTGCACCAAAACCAGCAAGTCGAGTAAAAAGATATTAGGTTCTTTTGTGCATTACTTATGTCATATGTAAATATTGTAAGCTTGACTGGTGCCCCAAATGTATGTTTATTTTTCCTTGGAAGATGCTGTATAATGGCTGCAGAAGCGGTGAGCTTCTGCCATTAGCTTCATTCTTTTTTTATTTGTAAAACTTGCCATGCTACTTATTCCATTAGATCATTTCATAATAAGTTCAAGCTGAATGAGGTGAGTTCTGAAAAGTCCCCTGCCCTTCGAAAGCATGTAATCATTTCTGAATTGAGCTGCCCTTCACCTCGGCTGCTTACCTGCCCCAAATTAAAGGGAGCAACTTTTCTTCCTCTTTGGAAAGAGAGAGGAGGGTTGTAAGTGGTATCTTTGCTGTCCTCCAGGCAAACATCTGTCGGCTGCGCTTAACTCTGCCCCCGGAAGAAAGCTGGCCTCCTTGGGAAGGAACAGATACTGCCGAAAAGACCCCAAAGGTGAGCTGGTGAGATGCAGCTGCCTGTCGCCCCTTTGCAGTAACTCACAGGACACCCTCTGGTTTGCAGCCCCCGGGGTAGCCTGGGCAACGGATGAGCCATTTGAAAACAAGCGGAGACCGGCATTTTGCCAAGAGGGCAGATCGTGCCACAGAAACACTCTTGGTTTCTTTGGGTAGTATATTTCATGGAAATTTCCTTCATCCTTTGGGGAAAAATGCAGCCAAAGCTGTTCATTACCTTAATTTTGCTTTAAAAAGAGAGGGGGCGGGGGAAAGCCAGATGGTTTGGTTTTGAAGGAAAAGCTGTTGCTGGATCTTAATTTTGAAAATGTTCATAATCAAGATTATAACCTGATTAGGAGATGATTTCAGGGGCAAATATCCCCTTCCCAACTTGAGGGACCCTTTGGGGTTATCACCACAGGGAGATGGGCCAGTTGAGATGGGGCGGGGATGTTTGGACCTTGTACGGAATCGTACTTTTGACTGGACATTATTTAGTTCTTCCCCTTGCGTGGTTTTCCTGACTTAATTGCTGTTTGTACTGTGGGGAGAAAATGCCCGTAATAATATCTGAAACTTAAATTGGGGAAAGACCGTGAGGGAAAGGGTTTGTAGACTTCTGCAGAAGCCCGGGGGGGGGGGGGCATAGGTGCCTCATTAGTGCAAAGAAGAGCTTTCAGTGCGCACATCGCGTGCGCCAGGCCAAAATGACAGCGTTCCTTTCTTCCCCACCTGGAACATCCAGCGGAGTCATGTGAATTTTCTAACAGCTTTATTATCACCACACCCTTGGCTTTATGTGGTCACGTGAACATCCCTGCACTCAGTTGGTGCCAGCCTTTTGCAACACAGCTGTAATCCGCCCTCTGAGTGACAATGCCGGCTGGCCGGGGTGGTGCTCCAGTGAGAACACTAAATTGCCCAGCAAAGAGCTTCTCTACTTCCTGGGTCCTGAGCAGACTTTACTGATCTCTTGTTGCCTTGGTCAGAGGAGGGATGCCAGAGAGATGGGGGTGGAAGGGCCGCTCTGGAGATCCACCTGGAGGAGCCACCTCGGCCATAAATGTCAGAGCTTGCTGGGCCAACAAAGAACCCCCATCCCCCTTTTCCTGCTTGAAGTGACTGAGGCATTACACAACCAAAGGGGCCAAAGGTTAATGAAAATCTGGTTAGATCACCCTGGAGGCTGATCCTGATGTGCTAATCTGCCTTCACGCAGGAAAAACGGGAGTGGCTGCACTGTAGTGGGAAGGGAAAGCCGGGGGGGGGGGGGAGGCTTGGAGCAAGGGTGGGGCAGGAGTGGCAACGCCCCCTGTGGGCTCCATCTCCGAGGCCTGGCAGGGAGTTCGAATCCACCAGTGGCTGCAGGAAAGTTTTGCTTCTTCCTGTTGACCTGAAGAGCAACTCTCCCCTGTTGTACTGCAGCAAACAGGATGATCCTGCCTGGGAACGCTGTTTATTTTTAATATGACTGGAAATAATAAGCATATTTCTCTTACTCTTAAGATGTAGCATTTGGGGGGAGGGAGTCAGGCTTAACTGAAGTAGTGAGCTTAGATTTTATTAAAAACCTGTAGCACAGTTTATACTATTAACCTGACATTTTACAGCCCTGCAGTGAGAGGGATTCAGAGATGGATGGCTGTATTAACTCAAATCCTACATCAAAAGCGTGTACCAGATTTGTTGTACTGTTTTATTCATCCAGGCCTAGGCTATGTAACTTCACAAATATACTGATTTGCCCCCAGAGACAGCCACAGAGCACCCCCAAACCCCCATCACCTTATCAGCCTCAATACCTTTTAAAAAGCAGGAAGTCCAGAGTATTAATATATCACTGATGACCCAGATGATGTTCCCCAAGGGATCCCTGGGAAACCAGTTTAAATGGCTTTTGCGCTGTTTGGTTTAAGGAATCCGTTACACAACCCAACCTCCTTGCATGGAGAAGGAGGATTAGAGAGGAATCCTATGAATACTGCTCAGAAATACACACCATCATGTTCAAGAGGGGCTCCTCCTAGGTAATTGTGTGTTGGATTGCAGATAATTAGAGTCTCTGGATTTAATTAAATTTGTTTCTACATAAAGTTAAGTTTTGTGTAAGGATAGCTCATTGATGAACTATGACAGGCTATCTTGAGTGGGAAGAATGTGATACTTTGAGCAGTGCCAGAACTTCCCGTTCTGTACATATTTTTCAGAAGAGCACATACTTCTGAACTGGCTATGCCCAGTTCCAGTCACTTCACTCCTTAGTGCTGGAGAGGAGCTGTTAGCTATGAACAATCTTATAGTCAAGTGTTGGATATGAAAACAAATAAAACTATTTTATCCAGGAAATGAAAACTAGTTTTGCATCTGGCACTCCACCCAGTTCATGTGGAAACGCCTTCCTCCCCACCCCTTGTCTAAACAAAACAACGTATTTTGCATGATAAGTCTGAATGCCATTAGGCAAGCAGGTGACTATGCCCACGTATTGCAACAGAGCAGCTTATATTAAGTTGATGTTTTAGACAGTGAATTAAAATTGGATGTCAAATGCTCTCTGGGCATTAAAGGCAACTCCTGCAAGAGCTTCTGGAAGGGCAGAGGAGCAGAACCGGCCTTGGCTTCTGTCAGCATTTTAAATTGCATGGCACTTCCTCCCTTCTCTGTATGAATGCTTGCAATAATAACATTTCAATAAAGTAGGTATAGATTTTTCCCTTCTTGAGGAAGACAAATTAGTTTTAAAAGGTAGCAATTGAATTAGTAGTCTAGAACTGTTTTTGTTTCTTTTCTGCCTTATCAATGTGTTCATAGCTTGGTTCAACTGGTTTTTACTGATGATGCAGTTCCCTCTGTGAAAACACAGAAGGTGCCAAGAGAGGAACATAGGAAGACCGGGCTGAAGGCCCATCTAGGCCAGCCACTCTCTTTTCCCTAGAGGGTCACCAGATGCTGCCCAGGGAGGCGGACAGGGAGTAGCCCTTCTTCCTGCTGCCCTCCAGCAACACCTGGGAGACCTTCTGCCCTGCTCTGAAGACAGGGCCAAGGTGGCCCAGGATTCGTCCCCTGCGCAGGGTGATGAACTGAGGTCAGTGCTGCGCCACCCATTGACCTTCGGAGCAGTTTTAAGAAAGAGCACATTTTGGTAGTATTACTTGATGTTTAAAAGGTTTTGTCTTGAAGATCCTTATGAAATTGAAGGAAGGTTAGAAAAGTCATACAATAATGTGTTACTTTCCCTTTTCTTTACATTTATAACTTTTGAATATACTCATACAGCAACTTTACCAAACATCTGGCGGATTGTCTGCCGGGGACTTAAAGCACGGTGTTGTGTATGGTGTAGTGCACCGGTCTGATGACAACCATAACAAAGAAATGGTGGTTTATGGATGGTCAGCTCACCAACTGAAGGAAGAAATGAGATACATACGAGATGTGAGTCACGTTTTTATATATTGTTCTTGCAGGAAGGAAAGGACTTTGATCAGCGGCTGCTCCCGTCCCCATCCTTTCCTTCTGTCCCCAAAGCAAACGTTTCTCTCCTTCTCGGTCCAGCACTCTGGTGGCTTTGCTTCCAGTTGCAGGATGGGGACAATTCACTTCCATTTACTCTCTGCATTCAGTTCTGGTTTCTGTCTGAACAAAATTGTGAAATGAAGTCAACTTGTTGTCTGGAATATAATTTGCATATCTTTACATTTTGCAAAGTATCCCCTGCATTTGGATGCCCGGTGCATGTATCACTGACCAGATGCCCCCGTAGACATGGCCACCTCACTCATGAATGTGCAGGATGTTGGTCATTAAGTAGAGAGGAATGCAGGAAGGGGCCTTATCTCACGTTAGGTTTTGCCTGGGTCTGTCTATCCCAACTGCAGGCAAGTCTTGGAGGACAGCAGGGCTACCTTGTGCCCCACCTACCCCCGAAGCTCTTCAGGGGCTGGATGCAGAGCAGGCCCCTCCCTAAGCAAACATACTCGGTCAACAAGTGGAGGGGCCCTGGGCATCCTTCCTGTCTCCCCCCTCAGACTCAGGAGCAGAACGTAGGCCAAAAGCCCCACGTGGGACAAGGCAGGTGGGGAGCATCCCTTACTCAGCCATAGGCTGCCCTCCTCTCTAAGGCGGTGGGACATGAGTGGAGATGTCATCTGGCTCTGCAAATGGGGAGGGGGAGCCCTGGGATGGGGCACCTGGGCTTAGCTGAGGAACCACATTTTGAGCTGTGAGAGACATTATACCTGCCCCAGATCCCGGATATGAGAAAGGAACAGGCAGGATTTTCTTAAATCGTTTGGTTTCCTGTTACTTTTATAAACATTTGATTATTTAGACTCTGAAAATTACCATTTACCCAATTTTATGTATTGTAACCTTTCTGTTCCAGGTGAGATTAACATTAGAAAGAGTAAGAAACAAAATGTGTGGAGAATACGATGAAATGAAACGCAAAATCCAGCAGCTCTCAAGTGAGCTGGCGGTGAGTGCTGCTGGGCCTGAACTTCTTCCTTTCCCCTTTTGGAGCTGCCTTGTAGGCCTCCGGCCCATCCATGTTGGGGTCTGACGCTCAGGCACCAGCTTCATGGCCTGCCAAACTGAGGCTTTCTGAGCGTGGTTGGGAGTCCTCCCCCCCCCCCCCCGGCTACAGCCTCCTCCCATACTAGGATCTAGATCCGCATCTTTTTGGGTGATCAAGCGTTTTACAGAGCAATTTAGTAATACATGTTTATGAAAAACATGGATTGCCTTTGCTGCAGCATCCTTTACACTCCGATGGCTTTTGCATTGGCAGGCTATCATGACATGTGCGGCTCAATGTGCTGATACCCTGGTTGGCAGCCTGGTGTTGCCTGGTCTGGCTTGCAGATTTCTGCTTCTCTTACCTCCAAGCCACGTTTCTTTTCTTTGTAACACCAAGGAGCCACCTCTGTTTCAGATCTCCGTATTGGAGTGCAAGAACTGGTGTAATCTTACATATTTTTCATAAATCTTTCCCCTGAAGCCCACCTGGGTAGGATTTATACTTGAATCTTTTCTTCAGTGTCTCTTTAAAGGGAATATTTTGTTTGGCTATATGGAGCTGCTGCTCATCCCTGCCAGATGTTGGTGGACTGCCATGGAAGGTCAGCCCTTGGGAGTTAGTGAGCACGTGTGGATTCAACAGCTTGCCAAGACAGTTTCCAGCCTTACTTCCCTGCCAGCAGTTTGTGCTCTGGCAAATGTACCAAGCTTGCCTTTTCTTTTATGGGCTTCCAATAAAAGTCATTGGATAAGGGTGTTAATTCCAGAGCAGGCCCAACTGTTGCCTCTGTGCAATTCCTGCTCCCTCAGACTCAAACCTGGCATTACTTCTGCAGGTATCGCATGCTGAGCAGGCATCCCTGGAAAACCACATCCAGGTCCATGCAGCAGCCCTGGAGAGTTTCCGCGAAATGAGCAGTTCGCTGACCTCAGCCTCCATTGAATTGCAGGTAAGTTGCTGATAAAGCCCACCTCTCTGGAGCTCCTCCCCCACCCTGTTGGGTCAGCCTTTGGAGGGGAGGGGCTTTTCTGCAACTCTGGTTGGGAGAGGGAATGGTTTGAATCTGAAATTCAGCATGCTGTAAGTTGGCTTCCTTGCTCTATATAAATGGCTTTGCTTATAAAAGAATTTTGTGCTGAAAATTCCTAGGCTTTATTCGCAGTACTAATCCAAAGACATGGTGTTGATTTATTAATTTAATTAACTCATAGATTTTATTTTCTAACACTTGGAAATTTGCAAGGTCAGTGTGCTGTATTTAAACATGTGACAGAATTGATCATAACTCTGGGAGTATATTTTTTTTGTATGGTAATATACAAACATAATAAACAAAAAATAGGCAAGGTGGATGTTTATTCGATTTGCATACCACCCAGCTTCCAACAAATTTTGAGGTACTTTGTTACTCTACTTCCCTCCAGTCACACAGTCACTTTTCAAATCTTAACGATGTTTCTTGGGTCATTCACCACCCAGAGTCCCCTGGAGCTAGATAGTCAATAATAGATTTAAATAAATCAATAAATCCTGGATGAATTTAAGCCAGAAGATTATTTGTTACGCTCTTCTAATATAACATGTATTTTGCAAATTTTCCTTCTTAAGAAATCTAGAAGAGTTAGTTCTTTGCAGTTCTTGCTGAAAAGTACATTAAAAAAAAGGATTCATCCTAATTTTCCTCAAGCAGTTGTGAATTAATTTTGTATTTTATTGCACACTTTTTCAGAAAACCTTAGTTGATGTTACTTTGGAGAATACAGTTATACGTGACCAGATACAGAACCTGAAACAAACTCACGAACAGTCCATGGAAAAACTGAAAGAAAAGCAGAAGCAACTGGAAACGGCTAAGGTGGAAAATGAATTGCTCCGCCTCAAGGTGAGCAGCGGGAATGCCTGCCAGGGATTACAGCTCCCAGAACAGCCATCAAAAACCATCGACTGGCTGGAAACTTTTGGCTCAGAAGCAAAGAGGGATGATCAGGCAAGACTTAATCTCCAAACTTGCCCACATTCCTGCTTTCAGTGCCATTTAGGTGATTTGGGATTACAGGCATCTGCATTCAGCTTGCCCCAGTTGTCCCAGCGACTGTTTTCCTATAGGAGGTGCTGAGCTGTCCTGTTTTCAATTGGCAACTAGCAGATTTTGCTTGAAGGGGTCTGCCAATTTCCTTCTCCCCCTGCACACACACCCCCCCCCCCGCTCTCCATGCAGGCAAGAGGAACAGAAGCCACATAACAAACAAAAGATCACGTGCTAGTGTTACTACTTGAAGTTCACCCAGTGTGTAAGTGAGGGGCAGAAGTCTTGCAGAGATCACCTGGATGTCTTGCACTTCTTATTAGCCCTCCTTTTTACTCAGATCCATTTGGCTGCCATAGAGAAAGTTGATTTTCCACAGGCAGCATCTATTTCTCTCTTGCATTTGTTTCATTAAGAGTCCCCCACCACCTTTTTTTCTATTTTTTTTAAATAGGTGGAAAGCTCACAGGAAGCAAATGCAGAAGTCATGAGAGAGATGACCAGGAAACTATACAGTCAGTATGAAGAAAAGCTTCAAGAAGAAGAACAGAAACATAAACTCGAGAAAGAAACCCTCCTTGTACGTGGGACGCCCTGACATTCCCTTTGGAAGGGTGCTGCTGTTAGTGCAGATCAGGGTTGAAGAGTCAGTTTCTGGGGTGGCTTTTGCAGTCTGTGGACAGGAGTTTTCAAAAATTAACAGTAGAAATTCAGTTTGCTAAATTACCAAGTTGAATGGGTCTCTTCTGGTCTGGCTTGTTGGAGTGAGTAAAGGACATCTGTGCTTTTATCCAATTTTCAGTTGTACAGAAGAGTGATATACATATAGAACAGTGGTTCTCAACCTGTGGGTCGGGACCCCATTTGGGGTCGATCGACCATTTCACAGGGGTCGCCAAGCAAGGCTGTCTGCCATTTTTTTTGTCTGCCATTTTTTTCCCCTTTTCCGGTGGGTGCCTTACCTCCCTTGGGCTGGGCCAGCTGGTGGTCGGCCTGCTCCGTCTCTGCCGCTTGCCAGCTACGCCTCGGCCGGCGCAGGGGGCGGAACCATGCATGCGCGGCGCTCCCGGGCAGGGAAAGTCCTCGACTTACGACCGGTTGGGTAGTCCTCGACTTACGACCGGTTTAGTCCTCGAC